TTGCAAGCTAATGGTTTAACAAGAGACACTGACAGATAGTTTTGCTAACTTATTAACTGACAGTATTCTTCCACTGATGAGTAAAATTATCTGACATTAGACAGAGTAAAATACTAAAGTAGGTCAGATCTGGGTGCATTGGAAGCTAATGGGGTTAACAAGAGACACAGACAGATATGTAAACTTACATGAAAATCTTCAGCTTTTGTAATTCCCAGTGAGGTTTTGAGAGCTGCTGGTGCGCCTGAACAAAGTCTGTAGAAAACATGATAACTTCTCTCTCCAGGACTTTGTTTGCAGATCCGGGATTTCTCAAGCAAATAATGCGAAATAAACCCACCAACAACCTTGGGCTGGATGAAAAAAAAGAGACAGACTTTTGGTAATAGGTTTACAATAGCAAACTTCAAACCAGCAAAATTAAATAGCAACTATGTCGTTAAATCAAGCATGCAATCACTCCATCACTATAGAGCTTTCACCAGTAGTTGTTAGTTTTTGTATTCTAGAAAGATCTTTACCTTTTCGTTAAAGTGAACTTCAACATATTTTCCAAAACGACTGCTGTTTATGTTCCGCAATGTCTTGGCATTTCCAAAAGACTCAAGTAAGGGATTGGCTAAAAAAAGGTGTCAAACAAGTTGAGCATACCAAGACCACGATATTTAGATTTAAAACAAAGTCTGATTTCAGCAATGAAAATGCATGTTAGGTTTACAGACCTTCAACAATTCTTTCCTCAATATGACCATGTTGTCCATCACCCCAGGACTCTGTCAAATATCTGTGATTGAAAAAAAACATATGAGGGTACACTTAGCCAAAATAAGTTAACAAAACTAGCTCTGCTAGTGTCATGTGTTAGCTAGTGTTTCAATAAGAAAAATCGGCAAAGATGAAATATTGGAAACTGTACGGTTTGTTTTCAAATTCTTTGATCCTCTCAGTTACATATTCCGTGTACCAGAGAACAGTTAATAGGCGACTTATAGATGAACAAGTGATACTGTAACACATACTAATTAACTCAATTTCTTCAATTAATTACCTCAGGATAAATTTTGTCGATTCAGTTTTACCAGCCCCAGATTCACCTTTGAAAAAAAATTTAAACAGATATCAACTAGAGTTAAGTCATTGCAGGTCTGAATATATTATATATACAATGGTCAATATTTAAAACTGAAGTTTTTTCATCCTAAGGCAGGCTTAGCTTACCACTGACAATAATTGACTGGCTTTCCTTCAAAGCTCTCATATCTCTGTAAGCCTTGTCCGCTGATGAGAGAAAAACAATGAAATTAGTGAAGTTATTGAAGCAGTTTTAGTGCAGGTCATTGGAAGTACTTTATCTTAAAACTTGTTCACAAACCAATTGCAAAGATATGGGGTGGAAGGACACCCAGCGATTTCCCATGATATTTTTTCATCATCGCAGATGAGTAAAGATCTCGCATATCGTGATATGGGTTCACAGCAAGAAGAATATCAGCGACATAGGTCTATAAAAGAAATTGAGGTGTTTTAACAAAATATATAATACCATGTGTCTCCAGATATATCTGTATTTTTAACTAGCATGTTTGCAAATCATAAAAGATAAAATTAATACTGCCAAAACTCTCAACTGTTAGAATTGCTTCTTGGACTTCAAGTAAGATTAATTACTTACATAGATTAAGTCCTTTTTGTATCTGACTCTGAGATTATTTAGTAGTGTAGCTTCATTCAAAAACATCAACGCACCTGAATTATTAAAATAAAGGCTCATTAATTGTTATAGCGAAACAATTTATGAACATGGAACACCAGTGAATATATACATAAATAAAATCTTTCAAAAACTCTTCAATACTTGATATATCAAGCTATTATAAATGATAGTATTTAAAGACAGAGTATTGTTGTTTAGTCTATCAATTAAAGGGGACAGTTTGCATTAAAATCTTGCATGTGAGTTTTAAAAAATAACACAAGCTCTAGCTAATCTGAAATTCAATCAGAAAAGCTTAACCAGATTAGGGGAGGCAGATTATAAAACTTAATGTCAACATTTTGAAGGCAAACACTCTCAAGTTGTGCAAATACAATTTGTAATTATATTTATATTCTTTGAAAGATTTCTAGCAATTAATTATTATTCTTTTAAATCATAGTTGCCTTTAAATAAATTTTCATTTATCTTGCAAAATGTAAACAAATGTGACAAGTATTAATATCATATTTGATTAATAACCACTCAAAATTTGCATATAATGGCAAGTAAGTCCTGAAGAGTTTCAAATTCACATATAATTTCGCCTTCAAAAAAGGGAACTCTATCATGCTATGATTGCCAGTGATTTGGATGAACTTTTTGTCTAGAAAATTACATATCGATATGGAATTTAATTTCTCCTAGACATCTGTGTGTTGCAAAAGCTCAAATTAATGCGTACTCAGTTGGATGGTTGCTATTTTAATTAGACTTCTCCGCATGTATTTGCCATCCTCGTTTAAACAATTGTTTAAGAAATGCTTTCTGACCGTTTTAGTAAAGATTTGCAACAGGACTGTGTGAGAAGTATTTTTAAACCATTATCTGGCATTTCACCAATTAAGACATAGCCTTATCAAAGCATTTTTATTTTGACTATAAATATTCAATATCAGTTTTACAAATCAGAGGTAAACTCTGCAAGCCAATGGATTAAACGTCTTTGTCTTAAGAGACCCTCGAAAGGCTGTCTGCCACATCACTGAGTCTGATTTGAATCACAAAGATGTTCAGAAATATAAAAACAATTGATAATTAACATTATCAATTAAATCAGCATTTGCTTTTTCATAGACATATTGCATGCACCCACACTTGTTCTATTTATATTGAAGAAGCTAGGCGATGTATATTGCTTTAAGTTGAAATATATTGCCTTTTCAAAGAGTTTGCATTCTCATTGCAGTGATAAATTACACATAACAGGTTTAAAAAAAAAGATCTTCAATGATATAATATAGAATATAGCCATTGCAGATCTTAATGCAGGTGTTTTAACAATCGGCATAATTAGGTTTTAGAGAGTAAAATATTTCCTCAACTTACAATTATCTTCGACATCCTTTTCATTATCTTTCTCCGCTTGAAAAACGCGTTCGTACGGAGCTGAAATTGCCTGGAATTTCAAGAAGAAAGTCTTTTAATTGTCTGCATAGTAGCGGTAGAAACTTTGTATTTAACTACTAGGAAACAAACGATTTGCATTACCTTAGTATAGACATACAGTACAAAATATACATAAAGTACAAAATATACACAGAAAGAACTCTAATTTGGGATAAAATTGAGATTTTGCAAGACAAAAATTGATACAAAAATTGATAGTTTTCAAGTCAAGAGGAAGGAAGAACTTACTGAGCCTCGCGAATCGAGAGGTTCGACAGAAATTGTGTCAGATCCAAGGTCTACAACTCGACCAAGACGAAAGCCATGACTCGAATCAGGCGCCCAAACGAAGCCGGCAATGTCCATGATTAGCGAACAATGCTTTGGATGATATTTGGAGGTCTTTTACTCGAAATATTCCGTGGTTTTGAAGAGGAAAGCTGTCAAAACATGTCAAGGGGATTTAAAAACCGAGGAATTGAAATTAACAACAACCGGAAATGGTCCGCGTTCTTCGTTAAGCGTCATTAAGGTGGCTCACTGCTGTTTGTTGAGACCCCAGTTAAGGTGGCTCACTGCTGTTTGTAAAGACATTAGTTAAGGTGGCTCACTGCAGTTTGTAAAGACGTTAGTTAAGGTGGCTCACTGCAGTTTGTTAAGACGTTAGTTAAGGTGGCTCACTGCAGTTTGTAAAGACGTTAGTTAAGGTGGCTCACTGCAGTTTGTAAAGACGTTAGTTAAGGTGGCTCACTGCAGTTTGTTAAGACGTTAGTTAAGGTGGCTCACTGCAGTTTGTAAAGACGTTAGTTAAGGTGGCTCACTGCAGTTTGTAAAGACGTTAGTTAAGGTGGCTCACTGCAGTTTGTAAAGACGTTAGTTAAGGTGGCTCACTGCAGTTTGTTAAGACGTTAGTTAAGGTGGCTCACTGCAGTTTGTAAAGACGTTAGTTAAGGTGGCTCACTGCAGTTTGTAAAGACGTTAGTTAAGGTGGCTCACTGCAGTTTGTAAAGACTTAGTTAAGGTGGCTCACTGCAGTTTGTAAAGACTTTAGTTAAGGTGGCTCACTGCAGTTTGTAAAGATGTTAGTTAAGGTGGCTCACTGCAGTTTGCAAAAACGTTAGTTAAGGTCGCTCACTGCAGTTTGTAAAGACTTTAGTTAAAGTGGCTCACTGCAGTTTGTAAAGACGTTAGTTAAGGTGGCTTACTGCCATTTGCAAAGACGTTAGTTAAGGTGGCTCACTGCAGTTTGTAAAGACGTTAGTTAAGGTGACTCACTGCAGTTTGTAAAGGCATTAGTTAAGGTGGCTCACTCCAGTTTGTAAAGACGCCAGTTAAGGTGGCTCAATGCCGCTCGTAAAGACGCTAGTTAAGGTGGCTCAATGCAGTTCGTAAAGTCGCTAGGTAAGGGGGCAGTTTTCGATTTGCCTCGCGTGATGTCGCAGTGATTATTGAGAAGTGCGGTCTCAATAATTACCAATTCCGCGGTGTCGACACCCTCTCAATTTCCGCGACTCTATCTTAACCCCTCTCTTACCTCTTTAAACCATCACGTATTTTGTCACTTTTCCCTTTCTGCAATTTCTAATCGGATGCTATTTTGAATGTGTTATCGCAACAAACACACAATGAAAAATAGAGAAATTTGCATACTATCTGTGATTCTTGTCATAAAACATCTGCTTAAAAATAAATGTTGCAAAAAAAAACTTCTCTCTTTATTGTAACAATTTTATAATAGTAGGCACTTGGTTTCTAATAGATTTTTATTCCCCAAAAATGTTTGTAGATTGTTTAAACTTTAAACGTTGCTTTGGCAACAAGCAGGTCACTATCTAAACTCAAACAGGCATCGTATTACAAACACAAATGTACTGTGTTTAAAGGCAATATTGTTATTCGAACGTTGTGTTTAGCGTTTTATAAATCATTTTTAGTTGCAACACATCATGGCCAATAGCGGAGATGAAACTGTCCCAATAAACAGCGACGCAAGTGGCGCAAATTCGAATTTTTGGGATGTGAATTATTACAAGACGATTGTGAAACGTATGGAAGATGGCGCGAAGCTGTGCGAAGATTTTATGAAGATGATCACCGAAAGAGCTGAGATCGAAGCCTTGTATTCTAATAAAATGCGAAGTTAGTGGCATTTAAGCGCGCGGTATTGAGTCGGTTATAAAACAGATTGTTACAATTATCAATTGATATTTGAATAGACTAATCCTCGATTGTTCTACTAGTTTATCTAATCACATTTGTCCGCAATATTTATGAAATTTGCAGTTCCTTCAACTTTCATGAATATCGCAGTCAAAAACGAGTGCCCGAACAAGAATAAATCAATCATCTTAAATCGCGTTTAAAATGAATTTAAAAGCCAGCGCAACACGACGATTCAGGCTCCTACTTCAGTACATATTAAATTGCAAACGTCTACCGTTGCTAAGCGTAAAGCGTTCTTCTCCATTTTCCTTTGTAGCTTGGTCGAAAAAATGGGAGGAAAATCACAAGAAGAGCACAGAATATGGTGCGTTGAAAACCGCCATGTTTGGAATCATGGTTGAGGGTGACCAACTTGCAGACTTACATTTCGAACTGCGGGAGAAATTACTCAACGAGGTCCATCAGAGCGTTAGTCAATGGAAGAAAGACAATTATCATAAGTCTATAATGAGTTACAAGGAAGTAAAAAATGTAGAGGAAGGATTTGGTAAAGCGCAAAAACCTTGGAATAAGAAACTCGATGAAGGTAAAGCTTGTAGATTTTTTTACCTCGACAAGTAAACATTGTTTTCCGGGGTCTTTAAAGTTTAACCCCACAACAGACATAGCTAAAACACTTTTTCTGGTTTGTTAAAGGTAATTAAGTTGCTTCCAGGAAACCCATGTAGTACGTTTCCTTGTCCCTACAAAAATAGCCCGGGAATACCTTAACTCTATCTTGCTTGATATAGTTAATAAAGCGAAGAAAACCTACCACAATTCTTGTCGTAATGTTGACAATGGCAAACAACAGCAACTGGAAGCTAAGGCTAAAGATTCAAACGAGGAAACACTAAAAAAACTGGAAGACAAGATTGAAAAATGTCAGCAGGACGTGAAAGATTCTAAAATGAAATACGAGGAATCGCTTCGAGATCTCAACGGCTACGTTCCTAAATATAAAGATGATATGAAGTACTCGTTTAACAAATGTCAGGAACACGAGGAACTTCGCAAGAGCTTCTTTGAAAGCTTGTTGCTGAGTTACCATAAAGCAGTCACGCGTGAGGAGCACGCTACAAGGTGAGATGTCGACAGGAATATTGTAAGTTTAGTTTAGGTTTCCTCCTGTGGTAACACTGGATCAATAAGAGATGATCCTTACTGGACCTCTAGGAAGAACAGTTTAGAACTGATAGAGCTATCCAGAACAAATAAAGTGAGTTTAGTTTAGGTTTCTTCCTGTAGTAACACTGGATCAATAAGAGATGATCCTTACTGGACCTCTAGGAAGAACAATTTAGAACTGATAGAGCTATCCAGTATAAATAAAGTTAGTTTTGTTTAGGTTTCCTCCTGTAGTAACACTGGATCAATAAGAGATGATCCTTACTGGACCTCTAGGAAGAACAGTTTAGAACTGATAGAGCTATCCAGTATAAATAAAGTTAGTTTAGTTTAGGTTTCCTCCTGTAGTAACACTGGATCAATAAGAGTTGATAATGTTATGAATAAAATACAAATTGTTCCCTTTTTTTGTTGTTGGTCAGAATGTCAGCAATGTATCAGGGAATGATGGCAACTTTTAAGAAGACGGCAACAAAAGACGACCTGGAATGGTACGCGGATTTCGTTGGTGTGAATTCTGAGCTGAAAATACCACAATACGAGGTCAGGATCCCAACATTTGCTGCTAATCTCCCCGGTTCATTTTAAAAACACTCAAGGCTTACCACGAGTTCTTCTTTGTAGGAATACGATTCTACCACGGCGAGCCCTCAAACACAGAATAATACGAACGAGGAAAATAGCTCAGCAAAACGAAATAAAAGTGGTGTTTGCACTACATTATAACGTAAATAACATTATTTGTGTGAAGAAAAAAATGCCCTTTAAAGACTAAATGTACTCATTCGATTGCAATGCTCGTTTATACATCACGTTTGATCTTTGATATCAGATATTCAATCAGCTCATGCATAAAAAAAACGTGTAAATATTGTAAATATAACATCGCGTGATCATTTGCATAAACTGTAGACTTATTGCAGCAATTGGTATAAAGTTTACGGCAATTTTAATATAAGATATTTCTTATGGAACTCTCCTATACTTGTTTTACAAAGTCAATGGGTTGAAGAAACTCTAGAGTTCGCCGTTGCGGTTTTATCCAGACAAAAATGCTTAATTTTGAACTAGTTTATTATTATAATATCAGACTTGATTCCGGAGTGTTTCAACCTGTTACCACCCGTACACTTATAATAAACATTTCAACTTAAACGATGAACTTTTGTCAAAGAAAAAAAACCACCTGTAAACAATAGTGACTTTCTAGTTTTGATTTTTATATATAATTCCGATGAAACGCGTAAAAAATGCTCCTAAAGATATATATTTGTAGTTTAGTATTAGGATTTTGTTTTATAATGAATGGACACGGCCGACCTTCGAAAGGAAGGAAACGAAGTCGAGGAAAATATCAGAAGACGGAACCAAAACTAACGAAGGCGGAATGGAAACAGATTCATAAATTTGAAGACGCACTCAAAGACGAAGAAGGCAAATTGTTTTATACTGACTCATGGGCAGTGAAATTCACAGATCAGGCTGAAGTCGAAGTGGCCGATAGAATTGCAGCTAAACACGGTTTTGCTAATTTAGGAAAGGTTCGTAGTATGATATAGAAAGAAAGATACACAATATGGCAGTTCTTCTTGCACACGTCTGTAGGAAAACCTTCATCTTTTCTTCTGCAACAAGCGAGTTTATACGTATTCATTTGAACATCCAGTATATGAGATTTAGCCATCGTTTATGCAACTCTTGTTCTTGTTTGACCAAGCCAGGAGAGTTTATAATAAAGTATTATCCTCTTTGAAAGGTTGGCACTCTCGCTGGTTATTATCATTTCAAACATATTGGAAACGCATTTCGTGGGAAAAGAAGCACTCATGAAAAAACCAAATTACTGATGTCTGAGGATGAGGTTTGAACTAAACATAGATTATCTTAAATTTAACTAGCTTTAAATAGTTCTAAACTCAGTGTTCTTACTAAAGGTCCAGTTGGGATCATCTGTTATTGATCCACTGTTACTACAGGAGCAAACCTAAACTAAACTAACTTTATATACACTGGATAGCTCTGTCAGTTCTAAACTGTTCTTCCTAGAGTTCCAGTAAGGATCATCTCTTATTGATCCAGTGTTACTACAGGAGGAAACCTAAACTAAACTAACTTTATTTATACTGGATAGCTCTATCAGTTCTAAACTGTTCTTCCTAGAGGTCCAGTAAGGATCATCTCTTATTGATCCAGTGTTACTACAAGAGGAAACCTAAACTGAACTAACTTTATTTATACTGAATAGTTCTATCAGTTCTAAACTGTTCTTCCTAGAGGTCCAGTAAGGACCACCTCTTATTGATCCAGATGAGAGCAATGAAACTCTAACTAAACTATGTTATAGGTTTTATGGGCTGAGCGTCAACATGTACTTAATCGGAACAAACGTGATGGAGTGCCTTCGGATCCAAAGTTTCAAGATCAATGGTATCTGGTAAGCAATGATATTGGTTCAGTCTGGGAGCATTGCAAGCGGAATACATACTCTTTATAACAGAGAAAGTTTGATCACCACATTTTTATTTCCGCCTTAGTTTAACCAAGGTCAGTCATCTGGGCCCGCAGGTGTTGATGTCAATGTCGTACCGGTTTGGCGAAGTGGTATCACAGGACGTGGTGTTGTAGTCAGTATACTGGATGACGGTATGTTATGCGTACTGAGGGAAGCAACAACGTGCATGGTATTCACGTTTTCAACATACTCTAATCTTTCATGAGCTTATAGAAAAATGTTTTAATATTTTTAAAGGAGTTGACAGCACACATCCTGATCTACACGATAACTTTGTAAGTGGCCAATATCTCACTTTTTTTTTAAATTCGGCCCGAGAGCGGTCTTGAAACAACTAAAAAACTCCTGGCTGTATTTTCAAGGATCAGAAAGCAAGCTATGATTTTAACGATATGGACGCTGATCCACATCCGCGAGACACTGATCCGGACAACTGGTAAGACAATGATCCAGAGTTTAGCCAAACTCAATCCAACACCGTCCCTCGTTCCTCTATCTATTGCTAACCTAAGTTATCCATATTTAGCCATGGTACACGATGCGCTGGCGAGGTCGCAGCGAAAGCTAACAATAGTATCTGTGGTGTTGGCGTCGCATATAATGCAAATATTGGCGGTAAGTAAACTTTGCATTGGAAATATCAAAAAAATTATGCTGGTCGTGAGGCTATCGATTTATTACCACAGAGAACTCTAGAACGATGCTTGTTTCGTTATAAAAACATCAAAGATTACGTTTATTTGTAGGTGTGAGGATGTTAGATGGTCAAGCGACAGACGTTCTTGAGGGAAGCGCCCTCAGTTTTCAGTCAAACTACATCGATGTCTACAGCAATTGCTGGGGTCCAAAAGACGATGGGAAGACTTTTGGGAAACCAGGGAAGCTCGCTCAGGAAGCTTTAAAGGAAGGCGCGTTGAAGGTATGTGGAAACACAAGTAAAATTGATATTAAAGTAAGGAGTATACTAATAGAATGACTTCATTTTTTTCATCCAGGGAAGAGATGGTAAAGGGAATATCTATGTTTGGGCCACGGGGAATGGTGGATTGACAGACGATGATTGTAACTGTGATGGTTATACCACCAGCATATTCACGATATCAGTTGGGTGTATTGGTGACCACGGTCTATCAGCTTATTACACAGAACTGTGTTCATCAACGCTCGCTGTGACCTTCAATGGCGGATCCCATAGAGAGAAAGAAGAAAACAAAATTGTAAGTTAACAATGCAAGGCTTCACTTCATAGATACCGTTGGACAACCTCAATTCTTTAATATCGGCTTAAACGATTACCAAATCCATGAGATCTTGTGTTAACTCGATAAATTATGTTGCCATATCATGTTTATAATCTTTCAAATCTCCCAGGTGACCACAGATCTTCATCACAGATGTACAGAAGAGTTTAAAGGAACGTCTTCAGCAGCTCCACTGGCAGCAGGGATGATAGCTCTCGCGTTGGAGGCAAAGTAATCATCACAACTTCTCTCAAATTTTCAGTGTAGAACTACAATTAAATAACTCCCATTTATAGAAAGTGGAATGATTTAAAATATCCTTAAATTCATGTTGTTTTGAGGCTCGTTCATATGAGATTTGTTTTGTATAGTCCAAACCTAACTTGGCGTGATGTTCAACATGTTATTGTTGAAAGTGCTCAAGTAACAAGCCCAGTTGACGAAGGCTGGATCAGCAATGGTGCAGGTTACCACTTTAATCATAAGTTTGGCTTTGGAAGAATGGACGCGTACCAACTGGTACAGAAAGCAAAATCCTGGAAGAATGTCGCTCCTCAAAGAGTCTGTAAGGGACCATCTAGTGAAACACAACAGTAAGTGTGGATATATCACTAGTAAGTAGGGATATACGGCGTATTAGGCGTGGTAGATAACAGGTGACTGTAAGGGATATATTGAATAGTGGATTGAATAGCGAGTAGGTGGTAGATAACAGGTGGTTGTAAGGGATATCGAGTGATATCGGATGATATCCTTCTCTTCTAGGGAGATCCCAGCAGGAGGAACATTATCGGTTACCATAGACACGATTGCGTGTGCAGACACGAAGGACGATATAGAAAAATTGGAGCATGTCACACTGACCATGAGCTTCCAACATCGCAGACGCGGGCAAGTCAGTATCGATCTTTTTTCACCGAGTGGGACTAGGAACGAAATGCTGTCGACACGTCGCTATGACGATTCAAGGAACGGGCTTCATGATTGGACGTTTATGACGGTTCATAATTGGGGAGAAAACCCGAAAGGCGTGTGGATTATGAATGTTACTGATAATATAAACATTCTGGGAAAACACCTGAACGCGGGCACGTTTATTCAACATGACACAAGTAAACAGGCAGCCGATGTCGAGGACCTTGAACAAGAGGTTGGTAACGAGTTGCTGATCTGAAAAAATGACTGGATTGCGAGACTATTCTGAACTAATTGTAAAACCGGATTAACTATAGATAATCCTTACTGGATCTCAGCTAATCAGATAATCTTGCTGCGTTGCAGGTCATTGATGATCAAAAGAAGACAGAGGAGTTAGAACGAGTACATGACGGAACGAGCACCCCCCGTCCTGTGCAGGATAACGCACGATATCCGGAGGGGGTGAAGAAATTCACTATCGACCGAGGAATGCCAAGAACTGAGGACAGAAAATACTTCACTGAAGGTTATGGTTAGTGTCGCAATTAAACATTATTTACATTTTTTAAATCTTTAATTTTGTTGCAATAAATTAATTTAATTGATTTAATAATAAAAACATGTTCCATTTGTTAATCTTTATGAGCGATGTTACTTAATTAAACCAATAAAATATTAAACCCGAAGTTTGAATTGAACCAACCAAAACTAGTTTATCAACGTTCATATTTTCTCTTTCCAGTGACCCAGCCAACATTTTGGAATCGCTCAAACTCCGCTTATTATAATGACTTTAACTACGGTCGACCGATGACGTACGGTTACGTAGACCAACCGTACACTTCCGAGTATCAATACGACGAAGATCCGAGAGGGCGAAGATACGTTAAACGAGATACAATGTTCGATTCAATTTATCCCGACGATGATCGTGAGAACTTCGTAACAAGTTCGGAGAGCAAACGTGAACAGACGTACATTGACGCGCACCCACAAGAGACACTCGAGGAGACTGGGTCCCAAAGAGTCCAAGTTAATAACGGATTTCAAGAAGACTTTGTTCCGGGGTTCAACTCCGAGTCGGGACATGTTACCTCGGGGATTTTACTCCAGTGGAAGCTAACATTTTATGGCACTGGTTCACAGGCCCCTGACGATGACGACACTTTATAAGGGTATGCTCAGGATACGTGTGTATTAATATTGGGTATCCATGGGATGTTCAGGGTTATGTGTGGGGTACATTTTATCCCCTTGTGTTACATACAGCCGTCATATGACATCATGAATGTTGGGAAATTTTTGATCAGTTTTTAGCAGAGAGTAGACAGAATCGCATACATTTCACAACACACACTTGATACATACGCCTCAATAATCCCGTCTGTTTTTTACTCCGAAGACGCATCGTTCCCAGCTACAAAATTCATTTATAAAACATTAAAAACTTTTCCTCAATTCAACTATTCAATTATATTTTTCTGTCTCAATACAAAAACTCAACTGGAGTGAACTAAACTGACTAGAAACGAGGAAAGAATATTCGAAGTGGAAGGACTCGCCATTTCTATCGTTAAGTCTAAGGTAAAACCCGTTTACACTTGCGATTTTTTGCTGTGATTTTATGTGCGATTTTCTTCTTTTGACAGATGTAAAAGAGTGATTAGTTACGAATGCTCTGATGTATAAGAACTCGTATTTGAACATCAGTAACTAATTCACTCGTTCACATCTATCAAAAGAAGAAAATCGCTCATAAAATCGCAAAAAGAAGTGTAAACGAACATAGTGTGGAAAATATAAAAATTACATACCTTGGGACCGAACTCGACGTAGAGAAGACAGAATTCTTATCATGAACGCTGCTGGGACAATAAGCGTGTGTCGACCTTCACTTAACATTCTCTCATTGCGAGCGATTACCTAAAAATTATCGTAATAAATAAATATCTTTTCCAGAAATATCTCACAACAAATTCTAGGCTAAATTATCGAAGATGCACGACAAAATACCTCGTCAGTATTTTCAAGTTCACAAACATTCAAAGCTGTTGGTGTCCAGAGTTTAATATCATAGTCAATGCCACTGGTAGCTAACACTAAACAACGAAATAAATCTTCTATTAAAATACTTTAGAAATGTACATTTTCTTGAAAATACTGTTTAGAACTGATAGAGCTATATCCAGTATAAATAAAGTTAGTTTAGTTTAGGTTTCCTCCTGTAGTAACACTGGATCAATAAGAGATGATCCTTACTGGATCTCTAGGAAGAACAGTTTAGAACTGATAGAGCTATCCAGTATAAATAAAGTTAGTTTAGTTTAGGTTTCCTCCTGTAGTAACACTGGATCAATAAGAGATTATCCTTACTGGACCTCCAGAAAGAACAGTTTAGAACTGAAAGACTTACTGGGTAGAAAAGGATGTGGTTGGACACAATTAACAATGCGACGATCACCCTCCAACAACATAACCACTTCAGAAGTCTTTTTTGACCAGATGAATATTCGACCACAATCACTGCCACTCAATATGTAATCATCTCCCCAAAAATTTGCTTCTTTGATCTAAAGGAAAAACTCTGTCAGTAAAATACTAAAGTAGGTCACATCTGGGTGCATTGCAAGCTAATGGGTTAACAAGAGACACTGACAGATAGTTTTGTTAACTTATTAACTGATAATACTCTTCCACTGATGAGTAAAATCATCTGACATTAGTAAAAAATATTATCCAGCAATATTTTGTTCTTACAATTGTGCGAACATTTCGGTGTCCTTTAAAAACTTGTTTCACATCAGAATAAAGAGGAACCTTGCAAGGAATTTCTTTAAAGTCTTTTTTGACTCGAAAACGAAAGAAATTTTGAATCGTCGAAGCGGCTTCGTCTCGTCTCGAGTTTTCGTCGATGGAACTCGAAGGTTCGCCGTGGTTCTCCGTGTCTTCACGATCTGTCTCGACTGCCGCAACCGGAGACTTAGAGTTCAGTGTGGGTGACTCAGATCCCCGGGTATCTGTATCCGAGGTTGCAGTTACCCTAGTATCTATTGAAGGTGAAACATTTACAGAGGATACAATCGCCGAGGTATCAAGAATACCATCATCCATTTTTTCAATACTTGAGGTATTTCTGGAGACACCTGGGTTCTGTCCCTCACAATCCATCTCTGGCAATTGCGATCCCAAACTGTCACAGCGTTCAGTGTCTCTTTCCAAACGTTGTACCTCATTGTCCATCGTCTGATCAGGCAGAGATCCCCCGGGATTCGTGACCAACAAGGGTTCATTCTCCGAGGATATAGTTCTCCTATTTATCTCATCAACATTTGATTCAATTTTACTAGTTTTTGTCGTTATTTCTCTTGGATCACCAAATTGCGATCCAGAAACACTATTATTAGGATTGTCTTCACCACGAGTACTTGTGCCGCAACTAAAATCACGTGATTCCTGCTGGTCTCGCACGTGTTCGACGCATGTTTCACTTGTGTCCATATTATTATTCATATTTTCCGTAACATCTGTATTTTCTATTACGTCATTCATACTTCCACTGACATCATCAACATTATCAGTGACATCATTTATTTCTTCGCTGACGTCATCGACATTTTCGCTGACGTCATTCACATCCTCAATGATGTCATCGATATTTTCAGGCACAGCTGAAGGCTCGTTTTGTTGTTCCAGCGGAGATCTTCTCCGTCTAGATTCCTGGATCCATCTTGATAGGTACCCGCGAATAGGCTGAGTAAGGCCGGAGCCTTCGCCCTCCGGTCGGGAGTTCGGCCCAGTGTCGGAGAAATCACCGCGCAGTCGCAGACGTAACCGCGACAACGATGTTTCATTGGCTGTGTCAGCGCAGGATCCTTCCTGATCATCCTCACTTTCGGACTGAAATTCTTTTGATTTAGGATTTGAATCAAAGAGATAGACATGGTCTGTGCAATAACTGGCGAGTAGATTTTGACCATCTGAACTACAAAAAAAAACAATGCCAATGAAATTCACTTTTCAGGTTACTACAGGAGGAAACCTAAACTAAACTAACTTTATTTATACTGGATAGTTCTATCAGTTCTAAACTGTTCTTCCTAGAGATCCAGTAAGGATCATCTCTTATTGATCCAGTGTTACTACAGGAGGAAACCTAAACTAAACTAACTTTATTTATACTGGATAACTCTATCAGTTCTAAACTGTTCTTCCTAGAGGTCCAGTAAGGATCATCTCTTATTGATCCAGTGTTACTACAGGAGTAAACCTAAACTAAACTAACTTTATTTATACTGGATAGCTCTATCAGTTCTAAACTGTTCTTCCTAGAGGTCCAGTAAGGATCATCTCTTATTGATCCAGTGTTACTACAGGAGTAAACCTAAACTAACCTAACTTTATTTATACTGGATAGCTCTATCAGTTCTAAACTGTTCTTCCTAGAGGTCCAGTAAGGATCATCTCTTATTGATCCAGTGTTACTACAGGAGTAAACCTAAACTAAACTAACTTTATTTATACTGGATAACTCTATCAGTTCTAAACTGTTCTTCCTACAGATCAAGTAAGGATCATCTCTTATTGATCCAGTATTAGGAAGCCCAAGCTAAACATATTAGACAGAACTTACCTATATTTCAATGACGTTACTTTGCACACTTCTTTGTTTAAAACACTTGGTCTGAACTGATACAGAAGACCACGCTGTTTGTCCTGTTCGTTGTTTTCCTCACCAGTGCTCAGTGATCTTCGATCATAAACTCTTAGCAAACTCTTTTCACAACCAATAGCAACATGGTTTGGCTGAACAGGATTCACGCAAAATGATGTCACTGGTTTCCCACAATCTATCAGCACATCCTGAAAAAACACAGAGTAATGAATTTTCATTCACAAAATGCTCTTCCACACAGGATGTCTTCTTACTGCTTCTAACCCAAGCCAAATATAAAATATGCCTAATATAAATACATAAGAGATGCCTGCGGAGGAGGCTAGCTTCTCCAGCTTCTTGAGATATTGTCAATAGCTTGCTGACCCAGGAACTTGCACATAGATATAGCTGACTTGTTGCAATTAAGTTGTATTTCAGAAGTCATAAACAATTACCTCCTTGCAACCATTGCACAGGCACTTCGTTTTAATTCGAAGATCAAATAAACGGACTGTGCCGTCAGAACCACATGACATAAAAGTGGATGGATCTCCTGGTGTGGTGTTCACCTGACAAACAAATATTCAATTTGTTAAAGTTAGTTTAGTTTAGGTTTCCCCCTGTAGTAACACTGGATCAATAAGAGATGATCCTTACTGGACCTCTAGAAAGAACAGTTTAGAACTGATAGAGTTATCCAGTATAAATAAAGTTAGTTTAGTTTAGGTTTCCTCCTGTAGTAACACTGGATCAATAAGAGATGATCCTTACTGGACCTCTAGGAAGAACAGTTTAGAACTGATAGAGCTATCCAGTATAAATAAAGTTAGTTTAGTTTAGGTTTCCTCCTGTAGAAACACTGGATCAATAAGAGATGATCCTTACTGGACCTCTAGGAAGAACAGTTTAGAACTGATAGAGCTATCCAGTATAAATAAAGTTAGTTTAGTTTAGGTTTCCTCCTGTAGTAACACTGGATCAATAAGAGATGATCCTTACTGGACCTCTAGGAAGAACAGTTTAGAACTGATAGAACTATCCAGTATAAATAAAGTTAGTTTAGTTTAGGTTTCCTACTGTAGAAACACTGGATCAATAAGAGATGATCCTTACTGGACCTCTAGGAAGAACAGTTTAGAACTGATAGAGCTATCCAGTATAAATAAAGTTAGTTTAGTTTAGGTTTCCCCCTGTAGAAACACTGGATCAATAAGAGATGATCCTTACTGGACCTCTAGGAAGAACAGTTTAGAACTGATAGAGCTATCCAGTATAAATAAAGTTAGTTTAGTTTAGGTTTCCTCCTGTAGAAACACTGGATCAATAAGAGATGATCCTTACTGGACCTCTAGGAAGAACAGTTTAGAACTGATAGAGCTATCCAGTATAAATAAAGTTAGTTTAGTTTAGGTTTCCTCCTGTAGTAACACTGGATCAATAAGAGATGATCCTTACTGGACCTCTAGGAAGAACAGTTTAGAACTGATAGAACTATCCAGTATAAATAAAGTTAGTTTAGTTTAGGTTTCCTCCTGTAGAAACACTGGATCAATAAGAGATGATCCTTACTGGACCTCTAGGAAGAACAGTTTAGAACTGATAGAGCTATCCAGTATAAATAAAGTTAGTTTAGTTTAGGTTTCCTCCTGTAGAACACTGGATCAATAAGAGATGATACTGGACCTCTAGGAAGAACAGTTTAGAACTGATAGAGCTATCCAGTATAAATAAAGTTAGTTTAGTTTAGGTTTCCTCCTGTAGTAACACTGGATCAATAAGAGATGATCCTTACTGGACCTCTAGGAAGAACAGTTTAGAACTGATAGAACTATCCAGTATAAATAAAGTTAGTTTAGTTTAGGTTTCCTCCTGTAGAAACACTGGATCAATAAGAGATGATCCTTACTGGACCTCTAGGAAGAACAGTTTAGAACTGATAGAGCTATCCAGTATAAATAAAGTTAGTTTAGTTTAGGTTTCCCCCTGTAGTAACACTGGATCAATAAGAGATGATCCTTACTGGACCTCTAGGAAGAACAGTTTAGAACTGATAGAGCTATCCAGTATAAATAAAGTTAGTTTAGTTTAGGTTTCCTCCTGTAGTAACACTGGATCAATAAGAGATGATCCTTACTGGACCTCTAGGAAGAACAGTTTAGAACTGATAGAGCTATCCAGTATAAATAAAGTTAGTTTAGTTTAGGTTTCCTCATGTAGTAACACTGGATCAATAAGAGATGATCCTTACTGGACCTCTAGGAAGAACAGTTTAGAACTGATAGAACTATCCAGTATAAATAAAGTTAGTTTAGTTTAGGTTTCCTCCTGTAGTAACACTGGATCAATAAGAGATGATCCTTACTGGACCTCTAGGAAGAACAGTTTAGAACTGATAGAACTATCCAGTATAAATAAAGTTAGTTTAGTTTAGGTTTCCTCCTGTAGTAACACTGGATCAATAAGAGATGATCCTTACTGGACCTCTAGGAAGAACAGTTTAGAACTGATAGAGCTATCCAGTATAAATAAAGTTAGTTTAGTTTAGGTTTCCTCCTGTAGTAACACTGGATCAATAAGAGATGATCCTTACTGGATCTAGGAAGAACAGTTTAGAACTGATAGAGCTATCCAGTATAAATAAAGTTAGTTTAGTTTAGGTTTCCTCCTGTAGTAACACTGGATCAATAAGAGATGATCCTTACTGGACCTCTAGGAAGAACAGTTTAGAACTGATAGAGCTATCCAGTATAAATAAAGTTAGGTTAGTTTAGGTTTCCTCCTGTAGTAACACTGGATCAATAAGAGATGATCCTTACTGGACCTCTAGGAAGAACAGTTTAGAACTGATAGAGCTATCCAGTATAAATAAAGTTAGTTTAGTTTAGGTTTCCTCCTGTAGTAACACTGGATCAATAAGAGATGATCCTTACTGGACCTCTAGGAAGAACAGTTTAGAACTGATAGAGCTATCCAGTATAAATAAAGTTAGGTTAGTTTAGGTTTCCTCCTGTAGTAACACTGGATCAATAAGAGATGATCCTTACTGGACCTCTAGGAAGAACAGTTTAGAACTGATAGAGCTATCCAGTATAAATAAAGTTAGTTAGTTTAGGTTTCCTCCTGTAGTAACACTGGATCAATAAGAGATGATCCTTACTGGACCTCTAGGAAGAACAGTTTAGAACTGATAGAGCTATCCAGTATAAATAAAGTTAGTTTAGTTTAGGTTTCCTCCTGTAGTAACACTGGATCAATAAGAGATGATCCTTACTGGACCTCTAGGAAGAACAGTTTAGAACTGATAGAGCTATCCACTGTATAAATAAAGTTAGTTTAGTTTAGGTTTCCTCCTGTAGTAACACTGGATCAATAAGAGATGATCCTTACTGGACCTCTAGGAAGATTAGTTTAGAACTGATAGAGCTATCCAGTATAAATAAAGTTAGTTTAGTTTAGGTTTCCTCCTGTAGTAAAACTGAATCAATAAGACAACTAAAAGGACAACTAAAAGGACAACTAAAAGGACAACAACCCCGCTTGCCCCACCACTGAAGATGATCCTTACTGGACCTCTAGGAAGAACAAGTTAAGCATATACTGTACCTCATATGTTGTTGAGCGATGACAATGAAATGGGTTCATTCCATGAGATGAATTAGTATTTATTTCGTTGTATTGAATAATACCATCCCCAGAACATGATGCAATCTAGAAATACATGAGGATACAATGATGTACTATGTAGATACCATATTATGAAAATATTACAAATATTACATTATATACCTTCGTACCACCAGTACAGGGGATAAATTTTGCACTGAAGATGTTTGCGTTATGACCACTTTGAATTGTGAGCTCTGGCTGGGAAGAAAATAAAATGAACAAAACATAATATTTCTTTTTTAATTCAAAGACATAATGGCAGATGGATTTCAACTTCATTTTATTTGTATGTTGCTTTGTAAACTATTATACATTCTTTCCTGGATGAAAGCCTAGTCTATTGTTACCATTTGTGAGTTACAACTCATGTATTGAATAATACCACTCCCAATTGGTTAGTTATGTACAATTAGTGAGTTATTGGTAAGTTATTGTTATCAATTGGTGAGTTTCAAGTTTCAACAAACATTTCACTTAATCAAGTACAATTATATTATCTGAGTTTTTGTCAATCTAAAATCTTTGCATCATTATTATGAGTAACAACTGATATAAGGTCGTCATGTTTGCAACTTTTGCAAGCACAATGCCAACATATACAGTGAATGACTAACTCCCTCTGATTACCAAATCTCTGCTACAAGTTGACTGGTACTGAAATTAGGAACTGATATAATTTCTGATGAAAAATATACCTTAGAAGACGAGAGATGGTAGATATTCAATTTACAATCATCTGAACCAGACAGCAAGGTATCTCCACAATCATTCCATACGACAGTGTTGACCTGAATAATATCAAAATTTAGCCTCAGAAGTATCTTATATCTTATAAAGCCTGGTTCACATATGACAGCTAACAGTGAGTGGGCTGTACTGGATAATATTAAAAAAGATTTATGCAACACAAGATATGAACAATTAAAACCCAGGCGTGCCTCAATCAAATATGAACCGAGCATTACATTGAAGTTTACATGAATTAAGGGGAAAAAGTATAAAAAGCCAGACTAGAAAAAAAAATGCCGACTTCATTTGTAATAGTAAGGCAAGATTGGACCATATTGCTTTAAAAATTCAAAGTTGAACGTCTTCTAGGGAGGAGGGAGAAGGTGGGGGTTAGCTGCCACCCTCTTTTCCCCGCGTCTGGGTAAGGGCAGCCCTGCTTGTGTGTAGAGACCATATAAAGGTTGGTATTCCCTAGAAAATGAGAAGGTAATACTTACACATCCCTCATGACCGATAAACGAATGCTCGCATTTCAATCTTTTGATTATATACTCACTTCCTAGTTGAAATAAAATACCAAACACTAATCAATGACTTGAAATAACGTTATAATTCTGAATACAAAACAAAAATGATAAATTTAGTTGGTTTAAATCAATTAAATGAATTTATTACCTAAAACATTTCTCTGTAAGTTAGTGTGTCGCCTATAACCATACGCCCGGTCATTCAAAGAGAAGAATATAGACCTTTTTCTATCCATTTCAACCTAATATTTTCATGAAATGATTCCGTCGAGCTCACAGACTTTTTTTCTTATTTTTTTATCTCGATTCGAGGAGACGCCATCTTGATTTTTAACGGGATACTTCATCTTGCAATCATGATTTGGCTTCTTTATCAATTAAAATGATTACCACATTTAATTAAAATTAGACTCAATTAAAGATTTAATTTCCACCGTAAACATTTAGTTTAACATTCCGCAGTTGTTCCTCGAAGATGATAAAAACTTTTCATGGCATTCAAATCGTCGATTGGAACCAAAAATACCATTTTCTTCACCATTAAACTACCAACAGATAGCATAGTACTTTTATTGTTTCATATTTCACCAGGTATTTTCTCAAAAGTGATAGTGGAAAAAGATTTCTATACAGAGCAACCGTGGTCAATGAAAATTCACAGAACATCGTTGAAAGATTTTTATTTAAACATCTACATGTATACAAATTTTCCAAAATCATGGCTTATTGAGAAAAACAAAATGGTTTTTGAGCAGAAATATATAATTTCTGCACAATAAATATAAATAAACTATAGTAAAAATGGACTATCGACAGTTGACTATCGACAATTGACGATCAGTGTTGACAAGATTTTAGTTTTGTGAAGTCTTTTAGGGCAAAACCTACAGTAACCAACATTTCATGACTTCACTAAATTGAGAGTTCAACTTTGGAAAACATTTCAGAAGCAATTCTGGTTCAAACCGTTCAAAAATATCCGATGTAAACAAAGTGAACTAACTTAAGAAGCTCTTTGGGAAAGAGCAATATTAGTTGTGGATATTCTTTTATACCCAGAGTTTTCATCGTAGAACAAGGGATAACTTTTTTCTACTGTATCACATAAAACAGAGACACAGATTCGTAAAATAACACCAATTGCCCCATCCACAAATCGCTAAAACCGTTCGTATCTAAATCTCCGTATTCAATAAGTTAAATTTCACACTGAGTGCCAAAGGATAAACTCTATTCTATATCATTACTCTACTATATAATACTATATTTTTGTTTACAAACATAACCAGAGGCTACCTCATGACTGCTCGAAGAGCATATAACAACTCTGCCTGCATACGAGATTCAAACGCGATGAGGTTGATATGAACCTGGGTAGAAAGAAAAAGATCTTAATTTACGAAATATCCCAGCAATCTAACAGGAAATAGCTTCTTTAGCACATCTAAATCTTACCTTTTCAGAGTGAGTGAGTTGTCGAAGACAATTAAGATAATCGTCTTGAGTTGTTTGTCCGGGAAAGCAAACGACCTAAAAAAATTTTGTAATTAGCAAAACAGACTGTGAGTTCCAAAAAAGACGAAGAATATGGGATATGCACGGACTGTAAATACCTTCTTAATGTATGTCTTGTAACTTTTTTCCATTAAACTGTTCACCTAAAAATGCAGAAACGGTGAAGTTGTAATGATGATACAATTGAGGTGTATATTAAAGTCAGCTTGCTTGCAAAGACTCGATAAAGATGATTCTACCTCATTATATCTGTAATCATCGTGAAAAAGACCAAACAACAGATGAATGTAGTTCCAGGTTGCTTGTCTGAACGCTCTTGTGTCAACACTTTCTTCCGTTCCAACACTAGAAATGATACACAAAAATTCGGTCAAGCATCTTGGCATGTACTTTAGAAGATGGAATATTATGCATTCTGTCCAGAATTTTTAAAACTGTTTTTACATTGTATGTTTCCAGCTTACGTGTTATAGGTTAAGTTTTCGCAAACTTTAAACTTCTCATCGAGTAATTGTCCCATTTCCGGGTAGAATCTATCGACCAGCGAGAAACCATATTCTTCCCAAGAATATTCGTTGACGTTCAATGATCGCTGATTGTTTTCATTTCTCGTATCAGCAAAATCCTTGTAACGAAAATTTGGATCCTTGAGGTAATGAGAGAAACTTTGTTCCGGGGTGCACGTGCTGTCAGAATAACTCACGTTTACCACTGAATTGAGAAAAAATGAAATAAAAAGCTCGTTAAAAGTAAAATTAAACGTTGCAATTTTTGCTGCGATTTTCTTCTTTTGGTAGATGTGAACGAGTGATTAGTCACGATTGCTCTGATGTATAAGAACTCTTATTTGAACATGCGTAAGTAATTCACTCGTTCACATCCATCAAAATGCCCCTGCAAAAACGCAGCAATATTGCGAATCAAAATTCATTCATCAAAATCAGAAATCACTTGGACGTACCTTCATCAGAAGCTATATTTTCGAATTCTTGACGTATTTTCTCGACCGAGACCTCGCCTTGATCTTTCTGTTTCTCCGAGACGGCATTCATCAACGCTACGAGTTCCTTATTGTCCCTAGACCTCCCTGTATGAACATCATTATCCAGCCCGTTCGAATCATGATCTGTGGTTAACGAGGGAGGTCTGAAGGTATGTCCACCTTCGAGGTCGATCTCTGGGGTCACCCCGCACCCATACACGAAACTTGATAGACAGTGGAAGTGAATCAAGATGGTGATCGCCTGAACTAATTCAGATAAAGACCAACTATCTTCACCCTCACGAAGATCCTATATAAAGACGCCATATTCATTAGTTCTGATGGAATTTCTCATGTACCAACACAAAGCAGTATCTACCTTCATATGATCTGAGTTCACCGTCCAAGGTTGATGTGCCAAGATTTTGTTGATATTATGCAAATTATACAGTTTCTTTGGAATGTGTTCCAAACCTTTCAACCACTTCGGATCACCTTCATTCTTCAAAAACTCTGACTCGTACAACTTCACCTGGTAATGAACGCAAATTTTAACATCCCAAAGACAACTACAGTACACTCATGTCAGGAAATATGTATAAATTACTCTTCTAGTTAAACAGGGAAGGAAAAATGATTATCCTTGACGATTTTCTTTGCAGAACAAGTCAAGACAGAAGCATACAAGATGAACTAAGCAGTCTTGGTAAGTCTTAAACATCATATGTTTTTTCTTTCTTCTCTTTAGGAATTTTTAGCGTAGTTTTTAAATGTCATAAAAAAAGACCTACCAGATAACAGCAACGATGGCGACTTGCAGCCTAAAAGAGAATAATAAAAAATTAAAAACATTTTTGACGGGAAAAAAACTATATCATAATAAGTATGCTCATAACGAAAAATACTATGAAAAAAGAGGAAACTGATATAAAAATCCGGGAAGAAGATCTAAGAATGGATTGAACAGAAGTTATATGGAAGGGCATAAGATATTATAAACTACTACGAGGGCTTCTGATTTTGAGCGGTTCATTGTTCAGTTAAGTAGTTCGGTTGCACTCAACACGGCTAAGAGGACATACCAAGATTGCAATGTAACATCTCCAATCGAAAGGCAGTGGACCTTCCGCCCTCATGAGGTAGAAATGAGTGTTTAGAAAACACTCCAAGTACTGAGGATGATAACCCATTAACCAATGAACGTGGGTGAGACGACCGCTTGCTAGGAATGATTCAACCAGTAAACTCTCAGTATCATCTTTATTACCATTCAATGGAATCACCTGCAAGAAAACGAGAAATAAGAAAGTTGTTTAGTCTGACCACGAATGATGAATGTCCACAGGGTGGGCAACTTTGTATGACTCTATATTGCAACCCTTGTTCTCGTTTGATGAAGCTATGATAGTTGATGAAACTCTCATGTAAACTCTCGCTTGTCAACTCTCATGCAACTCTTGTTCTCGTTTGATGAAGCAATGATAGTTGATGAAACTCTCATGTAAACTCTCGCTTGTCAACTCTCATGCAACTCTTGTTCTCGTTTGATGAAGCAATGATAGTTGATGAAACTCTCATGTAAACTCTCGCTTGTCAACTCTCATGCAACTCTTGTTTTCGTTTGATCAAGCAATGATAGTTGATGAAACTCTTATGTGAACTCTCGCTTGTCAACTCTCATGCAACTCTTGTTCTCGTTTGTTCAAGCATTGATAGTTGATGAAACTCTCATGTAAACTCTCGCTTGTCAACTCTCATGCAACTCTTGCTCTCGTCAAGAAATGACAGTTGATGGTAAGTAAATCCTGGCACGTCAACGTGGGAACTTGACCCATATACGCAATAATATTTCACTATTTCCTCTTCCGAAAATATGACGTGGGGACTTCTAGATTTCTGACCTTCTTTCTATATTTATCACGTACATTCAAGGTCATAAAAACAAACTTATAAATTTTACACATATGTTTCGCATAAACTGAAAAGCATCGCTAGCTAAAACATGACAGTGCAGCCTGTGCAGGTATATCAGTTATTTAACGATTATGAAAACACAATTCCACAAACTATCTAAATGCGCAATGTTTACAGAATTTTCACAGTGTATCTAGCGCAGATACTGCGTAGACAATCCAGCCGGGATATTTGTTTTAATCTCAGCGTGATATAATTCGGTTATGAGTCTTGATGGTGATAAGGTTTGCAGGCGAAAAATAGTTTTAAATACGTGCGTAAATGATAAATGTTACAATGAGGTTACGTACTGAAATTGCTTTAACAAAGCCGCACCCTGGTTGTATAGAATAATTACCTAAACACTGTCTCACTAGAGTCACGTTCTTTTCGTAATATAGTTCATTGTTTTCTAATGAATGGCCTTATCAATCATCCCACGTTTTATCACGTTCATGCAACAGGTTTTTCCACAAAGACAAAATCATTCAAAATATCTTAACGGGGGTAGGATTCCAAATGGGAAGACATTGCATGAATGAATTTTTAGCAGGGATAACCACATTTGTGCGTCATAAACATCCTGGTAATTGTCTGGGGACAATTCGGCGGAAACGAAAGCTATAAAATATAGTTATGTAACAGAAGGGTTAGAATTTTTGAATACATGCAAGATATTATGCACATTAGATCATGTTCTTAACAATAAAACGAGGTTTGACACCAAAAATCTTAAGTCAACATGCATCATCAGAATTATCCAAGGCAACCAGACAAACTTTGTAATTTAATCCTTGAAGGTCACGCAGTTTACTTCACAAAACATTGCTAATGAAAGCA